TGGAAAATAGCTTGACTCCTCTGTGGCAGCCCCTGAGATACTGGAACACTACTATCATGTGAGAGGGATCTCGGAGTCCTAGTGGACAATCATTTAAGTATGAGCCAGCAATGTGCTGCAGCTGTCAAAAAAGCCAACACAGTGCTGGGCTGCATTAACAGAGGGATAGAATCAAGATCACGCGAAATATTAATACCACTCTACAATGCCTTGGTAAGGCCACACTTGGAATACTGCATCCAATTTTGGTCACCACGATGTAAAAAAGATGCTGAGACTCTAGAAAGAGTACAGAGAAGAACAACAAAGATGATTAGGGGACTGGAGGCTAAAACATATAAGGAACGGTTGCTGGAATTGGGTATGTCTAGTTTAATGAAGAGAAGGATGAGGGGGGACATGATAGTGTTCCAATATCTCAGGGGCTGCCACAAAGAAGAGAGTCAAGTATTTTCCAAGGCGCCTGAAGGCAGGACAAGAAGCAACAGATGGAAACTAATCAAGGAGAGAAGCAACCTAGAACTAAGGAGAAACTTCCTGACAGTTAGCACAATTAACCAGTGGAACCACCTGCCTCCAGAAGTGGTGAATGCTCCAACACTGGAAGTTTTTAAGAAGAGACTGGATAGCCATTTGTCTGAAATGGTATAGGGTTTCCTGCCTGAGCAGGGGGTTGGACTAGATCAAGGCTTTTCAACCAGTGGTACGGGTACCACCTGTAGTACATTGGTACCTGGCAAGTGGTACGCGACCATCCTAGAAAAGTAGTAGCAGGGGAGGGGAATGAGCTGAACCGGTGGCAGCACCGCACAAGCCTGAGGAGAGATGGCTGGAGCTGCAGAGCTGTCAGGGCTCAGTGGAAGCGCCAGGATCAGCGCCAGGCTCCAGCTGGAGCTCAGCACTGATCCTGGCGCTTCTGCTGAGCCCAGAAGAAGCACCGAACAGCTGGAATGTTGCAGCATCTCCAGAGTCTTGTGATTTACATTCAGATGCTTGGCAACTGATTCCTATTTATGACGGCCATAGTGTCCCATATTTATGAACACACAGTGTTCATGTGAAGTGACCAAAACCTGCTGCAAGCACCCAACAGACGGGAGGAATAAAAACCAAACATCTCCCCGTCCCCACTGTCAATCTTCAACAGAAATGCTCACAACAATGAAAATCTCAGACAGGAGGAAGAGCACCCCCAGGTGGGCAGGCAAGTATCTTGCTCGGCTGTGGCTTGGGGGACTTTTTTCAGTGCCATTGTAACTTCGTACAGACACTAAGCGAACTGTTGTAAGTTGAGGACTACTTGTACTTCATCACTTTTTTCCTTTTGGGGTGGGTCATCAAGTTTTTGACATCTTGCTAGGCGACTGATGGTACTCGGATATTGCCATATCCCAAAAGTGGTACAATGGGTGAAAAGGTTGAAAAGCCCTGGACTAGATGACCTCCAAGGTCCCTTCCAACATTATTATTACTACTACTACTACTACTACTACTACTACTACTACTACTACTACTACTACCAGTATCTCTCCAAAAACCACACCAGGACTAAACAATGGGAATTTTCCAATGACCATTAATGTTACAGAATCTAAAGAAGTATTCAGCCTACAGCAAGGAGCAGGTCTTGGAGGTCCACCTTCTCTCTATTAGAATGTTAATAGAACTGGAAGTACTACTTTAGACTGTGCTGAAATTCTCTGAGTGTAGGAATCAAAATGAATACTTTCAAAACAACAAAAACAAATGAACATTTTTATAGTATGAAATATGCAATTAGTATCCTCATTAAACCAAAACTCAGAAAAATTGAAAGCAATAGGAAGGCTCCACTATAACATATTCAATAATAAGAAGGCTCAAGTTATACGTATCTACTGTCTTAGATGCTGTAACTTAATTTCCTTTTCTTTGTAATAAGTCTGCATGCTTTAATTATGTGAGAATCTCATCTTTTTGGTTGTGAACTGCTCTAAGGGACTTAACCTGTATATATTGAGGGATGGAGCTATGACCTAGCGTAGGCAAGCCTAACAATGGTGGCTCAGGATCCTGAGAAACAGTAGGCTCCTGTTGGCGCTAGTCCATCCATATAGAACATGGAAAATCAAGCCCTGCTGAACCTTAATTGGAAGTCCCCAGAGCTGAAATATAAGAAATACTGGATCAGCTTAGGGGCAAAGAAGCCATTCCAGAGGAAGAGGGAAAAAGGAAGAACCAGTTATCCTCACTTCCAGAAACTCATCTAGGAAATTCTACTATTCTAAAATGCCCCTCAAATTGAAACACTGCTTTACTTGGGGTAGGGGGTAGGGTGACTACAAAATGTTGTAAACCTGGAAATTGCATGCAAGGACAGATGGGTTTTTACAAACTTCTGTATTCAGTTGGGCTATGTGCTAGAAAAAGAAAAGAAATCTCCATCTACAGAAATAAAGAGAAGCAGCTCAGAATGAATAACTCACTTACTGGACATTTGCTCCATAGATCATGTCACTGCACATGTGAGTTTTCCCAGCATGTCTTTCATTGTTTACAGTGACAAAAACCTAGAAAGCCATCTGGAATCTTGGAATCTGAACATGCTCCAATCTTTTGGAACTTTGGTTGAAATCAACATGAGATGATTGTCTAGCCTCAACGAATCTGTTGCCCTATTTACACATCTTAAATAATTCTTCCTATTTGAAGTTCTTCATATTTTTTAAGAGTGAAGAACCAGTTCTAGTTTAAAATGTTTCCCTTTGGACTTGCTTTCTGTCCCAGAGTACAGTACTGTATTTATGAAAGTTCTTTGGGCAACCTCAGGATTCAGATTTGTTTACATTTATTCATCTGAGTGATCTCATCAAATCTCCTATAGAAAGAACAGTGAATAGTGTCACTTTAATGCCTACATGAATGGAGTTTCATGATTAATTTCACCAAAAGAACACTCATACCCTTGAAATATATTCTGCTACAGGAAATTACCATGAACATGAGAAACTATTCCTCATGTGTACATCTTGTGATGAACACCTTAGTACCCAGAAGGCCAATCCTTAAGACACTGGCAAGATAAGAGTTGAAGTTCTGGATTCAATACTATGACCTTGCTTCTACCTCAGACCACTCCAGAATGGAGCCTACCTCACAAGTTGTCAAGTAAAGATCAATTGTTGCATTAATGGCTAATCCCAGCCAATCTGGTCAGAGCCAGCCAAACATGATGCAGGAATTATAATCTCATCAAATTGTCACTGCCTATCAACAGCTAAAGTTGAGGATAATATTACTGGCTGTAAAAGCCCTTTTATATAGGGTTAGTTGGTGGCAAATATTGGTGCAAATAGATAATATAACAAACAGTGTTTGTATAAACAATCTGGGTGGAACCAGATCAAGGGGTATTTACAAAAAACAAAGAACTGATGACATAAGTGAATATATGCTTATTCATATCAACAGGGGTACATAAATGGATCACTGAATACCACAGTTAATAGCAAAATGTTTCAGGACAAATGGGTCCAGCTACAGATTTCAGAAGACTGCAAAAAGTTAGGAATTTCCCTTTGATCAGCTATCTTCAAGAGCCTATAACCACCAAATGAGATGATTCTTTTCAAGACCACAGAACAAAGGGGACTGATGCCCTGATGGCACCTGATGGCACCATAGCTGGCGCTATACATTCCCTTTGAATGTCAGTGCTATCCAGAACAGTAACAAAGATATTCAAGCTATGGGTGATTTTAATCACTCCATTCTGCCCAAGCACACCATGGCTCCTTGCCCTGGTAAAGATGTTGAGGATCCCTGTGGTATGTCCTGAAATAGCCAACATCTTCTCTTAAAGTCCAGTTCTTCACTGGAGTCAGATAGGTTACAACTTTACAAATTCCAATCTGAAACATGAACAAGGATTTTTTGAGTTCTGATTCTAACTTACAACTTTGAGACTGGAAAAGTGAATGGAAACATCTGTGCCTGGGAGTGAAAACCTTGGCCTTTTGAACATCAAATATCACTGATTTATTGTATGATTTGATGTGCTTTTGAATATGTGAAAAATCAGCAACAAAGAATCTGCAACTATTGGGACTCTTTTCAGTGGCGCTGCATAGAGTTCTAGCAAACTAATAGATTACATAGATAGCAGTTTGGGACTCAGTCGTTTTAGGTAGGTGAGGGACATCTTTCTTTACCATTCTCAGGTGCGCTGCTTCCTCGCAGCCTCCTCTCATCCCAATCCATGTGACTTGGCACTGAATATTCAAGTTCTAATGACTGATTGCTTTGAATCCATTAGGCCAGTGGTCCCCAATCTTTCTGGCTCTGCGGACCAGCAGCAATGCAGAAGGGGAGAGAATGGCTTCGCATTTGCGCAAGGCACTTGCACAAATGCAGTTTTGTGCGCTTGCCTGCCATTTGCACAGCCAGGTTCCCAATGGGCCATGGCTTGAGGATTAGGGACCCCTGCATTAGGCAATCCCCTATTAACATATTGTGCCTCTTTGATAGGACCAGCTTGGCTAGAAGGGTCATGAACTAAAAGTCTTTTTTTATTTTAAACCATATAGTTTAACCATATATACAAGATGTCAAAGCAAGAATATACAGTATTTGCAGCATTGACATCTTGTATATTTCATTATGACAAAGTGATGCTAAGACCAGACCCTGCTTTATGCCCAAGATCACTCCCAATTCTACCAAGCACAAAATTATGCTATCCCATAGCCCCATGCTATGCAGAGTTTTAAAGGGGATACCAGCACTTGGAATTGCATCTAGAAACATATTAGAAGCCAATGCAGTTTCACTGTAATGGTGTTACACACGGAAACTTTAGAGCATCAAAATTGTGTGTGATACTACAATCTATACTAGTTGAAGCTTTCCAATGTTGTTCACGGGCAGTTCCTTGTAGAACATGTTGTAAGTATTCAACTGGGAAGTGACAAAGGAATGAATGACAGTTGAGCAGATATCTTATATAATAATGCAATAAATTATTCATTCTCATATTTTTTTATTTTATTGTAAAAAATCAATTACTCTGTGGTATACATCAGTGTAATAATATTGTATCATTATATAATGAGGCTATACACACATTGAGATTACTTGGGCAAAAAGAGTCTGTTCTAGAGAGGGTTCTTTTCAAAATAGGAACAATATGCAGCCCTGATCTGGCAAGCTCTCTTAGTAAGTCCAGCTTCTGACAGTGGCACCCTTGGCCTGGCTGAAGCATTCTGGGTATCACCAGCTGTAGGACTCTCTAATGGTTCTAGCAACTCATCCCCTTTGATCTCACAAACATTGTGTAAGATGCAACATGTAGATATGACCACAGGAATGAGCTTCTCTCTCACATCCAGTCTCATTTGCAAACATCTCCAGCGAGCTCTCAAGACTCCAAAAGCTCTCTCCACACACGTTCGGCATTTGGCAAGCCTATCGTTGAACTTTTCTTGGGCCTCAGTTTTTGGTGCTGGATATGGTTTCATTAGCCAGGGGCGAAGTGGGTAGGCATGATCTCCAATGACAACAGGAGCCATTGAAACCCCTTCTAGTACTGTTGGAGTTTGTGGACCAAATGTGCCTTCATCCATGCTGTTGAAAAAAGGAGAGTTATGCAAGATGCGGGAATCATGGGATCTCTCTGGAAACCCAACATAAATGTCAGTAAAGCGAGATTTGCTATCTACTAGCGCCTGCAACACCATTGAATAGAACCCTTTGCAATTAATGTAGGAATCAGCAGAGAAGGGAGGGCAGAGGATGGAGATGTGGATTGCATCAACCGCACCTAGGCAGTTGGGAAAGCCCATTTCCTTGAAGCCTTCCATAATATCTTGTGGATCGCCCAACAAAATTGTTTGGGCCAGGAGCCGACTATTTATTTCTTCGCAGACTTCTTCAAAGATTGAACAGGCTGATGAAATTCCCACTCCAAAAAGCTCCGAGACAGTCTTGTAACTGTCATGATGCGCGAGTTTCCAAATGGTCATGGCCACCCTTTTCTCAACAGGAATGTGTGACCTCATGCCTGTGTCTCGACGCTGTAAGGCAGGACGCAACTCCTCAGCAATATACATCAGTGTGGAGCGTGACATTCTGAATAAAGAAATCCAACACTTATCATCCTGTTCTGAAGAAATCATTCGCTCCCACCATTCGCTACATCTGGGGAGCATCCAGTGTGATCGCTCTGACAGGGCCATCAGCTCGTGCTCATAATGCAGTGCTGGTGAAGATGAATACACCATAGTTACCACAGACACTATAGCATTGCGATGAAGCCGTAGCAGGGCTCTCTTACGACGGACACTAGCTGAGAGGATGCGCCTCAGCACTGCAGCTGACCGTCGAAAGCGTCTCCGCTGAAGAATCCTTGCTATGGCAAATACCACAGTACGCCTGTTCAGCATCCATTGTTGCACTAGCAACTGAGAAGTTTGAACACAAGCAGCAACAAGAGCCAAGCACTCTTGCTCCATTTATCCAGCTGGTTTTAACAGTAGCAGCAGGTCCAGGAGGAGATGATACCAGTATGCTGTGACAGAAAACTTTTCCACCCTGGTCAAAGCAGAAATGAAATCACCAATCAGGGATCACTCATAAGCACTCCATGCACTTCATTTGAATAGGCACTGTTGAATTTAAGGGTAATACATTGTAATTGGCTCTAATTCACTAAGAATCGTATTTATAATCCAACTGTGAAGGTCTTTTAAAAAATACAAAGTAGAAAATAGTTTCACCGAGTTCAGCCATTTCACATTTTCCATTTAAAAATATTTTAAATTTTCAGAGAGTCACATATGGCTTTTCCATAAATATTTCTCTTTTGTACAAATATTTCAGCTGACCAACTCTCAGTCAAACATACTATATTCGCCATGCTAAGCCATGATTGAGCTAGCATGGCTGAATCCATGATATCTAACAAACAATTGCAATAATACAGCCTCTCTACAAGTTCTAGGCCTGCCAAACCCAATAAGGGGAAGACACTCATTAAATATATTATGGCTACATTATGGTATTTAATAGCGCATCCCATTTGAACTTAGCAATATAAAATACTATATTCTAGAATAAAAGGATAGAGAACATGGGGACAGATTAAGCAGTTTAAATCAAGAATACTGTAGAGGTAGTGCTTGATTTACGACCACAATTGGAACCAGAATTTCCGCTGTTAAGCAAGGTGCTTGATAAGTGAGTCATGCCTGATTTTATGATCTTTTTTGCCAAAGTTAAGCAAATCATTGTTAGATAAATCAGGTGGTTGTAAATGATCTGGCTTTCTCCACTGACTTTGCTTGCAGAAAACTGGCTGGGAAGGTAGCAAATGGTGATCACATAACCCCTGGATCTTACAAATGTTGTAAACACATGCCGAGCACCTGAATTTTGATCATGTGACTGTAGGGTGCCATAATGGTCATAAGCAGTGCTTTTTTTTCTAAAAAAAAAAAGGGGGGGAACTCACACACGTCATACAACCCGCCTTGCCTACCCTAAAAGGTTCCATCCGTTCTGGGTGTTCTATGAGAAAAAAAGCCCTGGTCATAAGTGCAAGGACCAGTTGTAAGTCACTTTTTTCAGTATTTTTGTAACTTTGAACTGTTGCTAACAAATGGATGTAAGTTGAGGTCTACCTGTGAGCAATTTATCATTGTAGAACTACATGCACTACAATCTTCAAAGATCTCTTAAAACATATCTATGCCCAACCCACCTGGGAGGGTGGAAAAGGGATACCCTACTACTACTAAATGGCAGCCCTTAAGGAAATGCAACAAATGGGACCAATGCAGCTTTGAACAAACAAGGTTGTAGTCTTGATTTAAATGTTAAGGACATAAAATTTAATTATGTGACTTGTTAGCATTTTCCTATCTTTGCTGCATATAAATGCCCCTCATGGATGCTATAACATCCAGGTTGCATAAACTGAACAGCACATACCTTCTTGTATAGTTCTTTCAGACATACAAGCAACTTATAGGAATCTTTATAATTGTAATCTAATTAGAAAAGGTACTGAGGCCGAGAACAAGTGGCTTGCAAAAAATAATCTAGTTCAAGCAAAATCAAACAAAGAACCTGCTTTATAGTTTCATCTCTTAAGACATCCCCTACACCAATTGTCTTGTTATATAACTTGTTAAAAAAAAATGACTAGGGAAGCTGTTAAATCAGGCTATTAGCTATTTGCTGAGAAAATTAATATTAGTATGCAGTTTGAAGGTTGTATCAACTGTACCACTTTAGGTTTTGATATATTTTTATTAAAGATTTTTTAAAAGATAAAAGTTAACACTACAATAATATAAAGTGAGAAAAATCAAAAAGGAAATCACGGAGAAAGTTAAAAGTCCAAGGGAAAAAAGTAAAAGATAAACAAGTAGCTTCCGATCTTTTTTACAGCAGTTATAATTAGACATTTAGCTCTCATTCTAGAATTGCAATATCTCTCTTTTTGAAATCTATTTTGTAATCTATTTTATCAAAGCCATAAATCTTAAGTTTATTTTTTTATTTCATGCATAAAGTCTGTAAAGGGTTTCCAGTCAGCAATAAACACAGATGTTGTCTTTTTTCTCATCAAAGAAGTCAATTTAGCCATCTCAGTAAGTTCTGACATCTTCACCAACCATTCCTGCATTGTGGATAGTGTCAACTGTGCCACCTTTGTTGCAGGTTAGATAAGCTTTTCCAACATTACGTACCCTATAATTGGTGCAGAGGCTTCAAACCTACTGAGGAACCCGCTGCGTTTTCCCCCCTCAAAAGTAAAAGACATTGTTAGAGACATTGCCTATCCTGCCTTGCTCTTTGTCATCTGCAATCCAGAACAGCTCAATAATTTAATGGGCTTAATGGGCTTCAAAGCCCAAATCCTACCACTGCAGGCTGCTGCTCTTCACTGTCATTGTCCTGGCCTGCTGCTTTGTTTTATGTGCGCTCACTGTGCTGGCCTGTAATGATCATACAGGCTTACGGAGGGAACATTGCACTGATGCTGTCGTTCGTCTATGCTGTTTAGCACCAGGGAGGTACACAGAAACAACTGCACTGAGATGCAAGAGAATAAACAGATTAGAGATAGTAGTTATTTTGTTTTTGTCATCCATTTTTATTATTACATTATTATAATTGGATTAATAATTTTAAACATTCAATACCTGTTGCATTTTTACATGTGTATGAATATAGCTCTCTATTCAGGATATTTTATGTAATAGGGCTGCATTCATTTGAGTTTGAGACCCCTATTCTGATGCTTCCAATTAGAAAAAAAAGAAAACTCTATTGGGTTTGCAGAAATGCTGTTACAGGGATTGCAAAAGGGGGCAAAACTCGCTTAACCATCTTGTTTGGGTTTAATTGTGGTCATAAGTCAAGGACTACCTAGTATTTTTTTTAACATTTTTAACACTTTTTTTTTCTAAATTTGAAACTCAAGCCGTATTTTATCTAACCAAGACACAGATCACAACAGTTGTATAAGCTTTGGGGAGCATTGTTATTATTTTATCCCATTTTTCTTGCCGAATCTTATAAAAACAAGTTGAAGCATGTAAGACAGTTTAAAAAAATGTTTTGATAATAAAGAGATGAAATCACCTGCGTTTTCTTTAAATGATCTCTAGAGGCAGATTTAATACCAAAGCCAAGTGGACGTATTAAATGGAAAAGATACAGTTCTTAAGAAATACATTTGCTTATAGCCAGGAGGAGCTACAGTTAACTTATTTTCCCCAATATTAATAGAACAACAGTCAGCTACATTGTTGTATCTTGACAAAGTGTACTTTCCCTCCCCCACTTCTGGACTCTACTCAGCCTGAAAATGTGAAGACTATTACTCCCCCCCATCAATCCCAAAATACATCTTACAAGTCTTTTAAGGGTTATTTATGGCCAAATTGTTTCCTGGTATCTACCAATCTTGTGTAACTCACTGGAATCATTCAGAAAGGCTATTAAAAATGAAGCCAAGTCTTTCTATGTTCTCTGGGAAAAAGGCTATGAGCTATGAGTAATTAAACTAATACATGTGTGTGTGTGTGTGCCAGTGAGATCTACACTCTCTGTGCCTGAGATGAAGGGCAGCTAGAGTGAGGAAAACTTCCTTATAATAATGACATTGATCCTGAGATGGGAAGCTAGAATTGGTGGTGAGACCTGGCTTATATTCAGCAAAAAATGTAGAACTGATGAGAGAAAAGAGGAGGGGAGCCATTATGTTGTCACCACTCCCAAGCCCTATTCCAGTGGTGGCGAACCTATGGCATGGGTCCCAGAGGCGGCACTCAGACCCCTCTCTGTGGGCACACATGCCGTCGCCCCAGTCCTAGGCTTTCAGCTGGGTTTTATACAATCTTTTCACTTTAGGCATCCACCGCCGTGTACAAAAAAAAAAAAGGTTCAATCAGTCAATTTCAACTTATCAAGGAAAAAAAAAGATCTTGCAAAGTTGGAATTGATTGAACTTTTTAGTCCCATCCAATCTGCTGTTACCACCGTAGCCGCGCCCACCCAATGGGCCACACCCACCCAGCATCCAACTATGCATAAGTGGGTTTTGGGTTGCAGTTTGGGCACTCCTCTCTAAAAGGTTCGCCATCACTGCCCTATTCACATCAGACTCCTGTCCATTTATGTATGTGTGGGTGTACAGTGGTGGCAGGAAGGAACAAACAATTTGTAAAGTTGTAAATTCTAAAAATCAGGGAAAAATAAAATAAAGATTTTTTTTCACGTCTAATGAAACAGCATGGGATGCAACCATAGCCTGGATGGGGAAAAACTTGTGTTACAAGTGTGTATTGTTTTTTGGTTCTTATATGCAAGTTTCTTAAACACCCTCACATGTAAATTTTTTTTCTTATGTGTATATTATTATTTAATATATTGTAAAAAGTGATGGCTATTGCTGGTCTACGACAGTAATAAAGTTTATTATTATTCTTATTATGTGCAAGTTTTCCTCATTGGGGCCCAGTGAAGGACACGCAACTCTTATTTTCCGAATAAGCCTCCGAGGGAGACTTACTGAGAAATAAATGCCCGACCTAAAGCTCTGCAGTAAATTCATGGGGAACCTGAGCCTTCCCAGTCATCTTGCCTAACCATATGGCAAGATTTAGGCATAGGCGGTAAATTCCTGCAGTTGGAGCCCATCCTGTCTGAAAGCCTGTCCCGACACCACCGCTCGAAGGCTTCTGCCAAGCACGCAACCCTGAGCTGCTCCACTCAAATCAACGATGGGCTGTCTCAGTCTACGGCAGCTAAACCTACATCCCAAAGAACTTGTAATTAGTGCTTAGCAACCTATAAATCTGAACAAAAGTCCTGCCGTCGAAAAAACGCTGGCGGGAGAAGAATGAGCATCAAAGCAACAGCCTCATCTTACCTCCGTCCCCTTTCCTTCTTCCCTCCAAACCGCAGCTGAGGCACCTTCCGCTTTACGAAGGCCGCCAACGTTCCCTGCTACTGTCCCTTTAAGAGGAAGCTGTACCGCTGATTCCTTTTCCTTTGGCGGGGCAACCCTATTCGATACTTTAGAGCACGGGCGAAGATGACACTTTCCCGCGCGCCGCCGTCGTCATTGTCCAAATGAAGGTCGCTTTAAAGTGACGCAGCCGCAGGCGCGAGCCTGAGGTAGTACGCACGCGCATCCGGCACTTACAATTCTCTGCTCAGAAACGCTGCCCCCTTTCCTAAATACGTGGATGTTCACGCCCCACTCCGGAACAGGTTCTCGGGAGCTCGTATCTTCCTCCCCTCTCCCCCCATCTCAATGGAGCACTGTCTTTCGAGAGCCATTTTGACTGAGGGTTACCGCGCGCATTTGAGGGAGTTCAGGCTGAACATGAAAAAAATAGTTTGAGGTAACCGTTAGAAGTCGTTCATTTTACCGGTCCGTTCTCTGCTGTTATTTTTCTCGAACAAGCAGTCCTTTCCAGTAGGCCACAGCACTTTCCTCTTAGGCTGGGAAATTGAGTTACTTTTTATTCAATGACTTTCACTTGGTTACTTGGGAGTCAGATAATTTCATTTTTAAGTGAGAGCAAGATCACTAATCCTTAGTAGTAGTAACACTTAAAAAAAAAACACAACCAAGGCTCCATTTTACATTTAAGTTGTTCCAGATCACGTAGCTAATTAGATTAAATTGCAACCTCATTCAGTAGGATCAAATGGTTGACTTTCAGTGGAGAAATCTAAAAAGGCACCAGCCTGCTCTCCTGCAATAGGCTACTTTATTCTGGTAATTCAAATGAACACAAGCAGCAGTAAAGGATTCCTTCCATACATCTTATATCTTCCCAGCTTAGAACTAGATTCTATAGTGCTCAGTAAGTACTACAGCTTACTAAACATATTAGAATCCTAAGAAAAAAGGATAGGAAGGGCCTTACTTAAATTTCATTACAGTTAAGTGGTATTTGTATTGTACCAGTTTGAATGACAGTGAAGCCAAGCTAAGAAATTACACTTGCATTATTTCTTAGTGCGCATATCTCATTTAATAAAACTCCCAAGATACTCTGAGGTTTCAAAAACTCATGGAAAGTTTTCATCTCTTTCAAAATATCCCGTTTGTGTCCCCTTTAACTGTCATTTCCTTGTCCTGGTGGCAGGACACGAAAGTTCTGTGTTAAGAATTAAGACACTTATGGCAAGAGGAATGAATTTAAATAAATTCTTTTTTTGCCTTTATTTTCAGGGGAATCCAGAGAAATTAAAAACCATGTGAAGAAATTAAAAACCAGAGCATTGAGTCAGAGATAGAGAGAGATGGTGGGGAGCGGGTGAGGCATGAGCCTCCCAGGACAATTTAGGCTAAAACAGCAAGGGAAGGGAGGTAGGCAGGTGGCATAGCTTCCCCTTTCAAGATGCCCAGACTCAATCTTCAAGAGGGTTGGGTAAGTTGCCTGGCTTCTCCCCATACACCCCTCCATCTTAGCGGTGCTTCCCCTGGATATTTGTGGAATTAACCCTTCCCATCCAAGGTTTCCGAGTAGACCATCACTCTGCTAGGAGCTAGAAGAAAAAATAAAAATAGAAAATGTGGTGAAAAGTGTATCTTTAAGAGAGATGCTATATGGGTAGCACACAAACTTCCCGCTCTATGCTTCCTGCAAGATATACTTCTCTTCCAAAATAAATAGATGCTTAAAAGATGCCATTTGTACATCATCTGCTGCAATATATACAATTATCCCATACAAATAAGAATCTTGGGTTGAAAATTAGAACAGCATTATTCTGCTGTTGCTCCTATCTGATTGTGAGATATGGTTTTGCTTGTTACTTTTTGTGCTTGTACAAATTTATCAACCACTGGGCAGAAACCTTTTCGACCTAACATGTTATGTATTACTATAAAAAAAATAAAGGAACAAGACCCCCAGCATCATGCAAGTAGAATTAAACTCTGCTTCCTAGACACTCTCCTTCAGATATGCATACTCTTTATTTGCTTCTGCAGAGGGAGAATGCATTGGGCTAACTTTTGAATCCAGGAGCATGATGACTAATGATACTGTGAAGTAGCTTCTCAAATGTTAACTGTCTCTAAAATTATCCAGATCATGAATGGGGACAGGAATTATTTTATAGGCATGATTCAGTGTTTCAGTCTGGCAAAACACCTAGAATGAAATCAACACTAACTTGCAGTTATGGCTCAAAAAGCAGAGTACGTGTGCTCAATGCATAACTGAGGCAATATGTTTTAAGAACTGACAAAGCAAGGTATCTTCTTGGCAAACTGATGTGTTATTATTTTGAGATAACTATATGTTGTTGTGGAATAGGTAGATTTATTGGGAAATCATTGCCTCTCATGATATTCACTGTCAGCTCTGCCCAACTTCGTAAACTCCAAAACAGAGACTCCCAGGATCCCCAGCCAGCAAGGCCATGGTCACCCCAGCATATAACAGGGCATTCAGCTGGCTCAGGAATTCTGGGAGTTGAAGTTCATGAGTCATAAAAGAGCCAAGGTTGTCTACCCCTGTACTAGACAGATTAGCCCCAAAATACAATCCTTAACTTCAGCTCCAACCAACTTTAGGAATACGAAAACACAGAGGTCCCATATAATCCCCATTCAAGCTAAAAATAGCTGTCTATGCAATTAGAGTTGGCATTACTAGCTTAGCTGCACCACCATCTCATAATGTAAATTCATCTGACTTAAGAATTTAAAGGAAAATTCTTCCATTGCTTACCTTGACTATGTAGCTCCCATATATGGCTCCATTCTGTATCAGGAGAGAAGAAAAAAATTAGAAGCTAAGCATTACTGTATTTTATTCCTAAATAATACCTACTATAAGTCTCTAATTGTTTTTATGTCCAACAAGAAGTTTCTAAATTTTAACTTCTTTGAGAAAAGCTGGTCCAGATGTGCAGCAACCACATGCCCATCTCCCTGCATTATTTAACACAAAACTCAGAACCCTGACTCAGTTAAAATTAAATGCTAGAACTTATAGTAATACTCAAATAATTGGAAGTAAAATGTTCTTAAGGAAACACAAAAACTTCTTGCTGACTCCATTGAAATTTAATGAAGACACTTTTTTCCTTAGCCTTTCAAGGAAAGCATTAAAGAGAATAATAAGACTCCTTTTGAAACTGTTAATTCAAAACCAATTCAAAGGGTCAATATACCCTTACCAGATAAACATGAAAAATGAATACTACAAGTTGTTTTTTACTTATTACCCTTCTGGTTTTTTTGTGGGTAAACATTATCCATGCCCCTCCCTCTTCCACTAATTCCAATAGCTGGTTTCTGTGCACCTGAAATGTGACTGCTTCTTATAATTGAAAGTTGCTCAGTATATTCTGCTACCAATAGATTAATAGCCTCAAAATATGCAGAAATCTCCTTCCCTGTGCAGTACTGTACTCTTAAGGCTATCTTACCTTCAAAGTGATAATTTCTTGCAGCCTGCCAGTCACTGGCTTCCATGTTTTCCCAACATGCTCCAGCATCTGCATTTTCTGTCTCCTTGACTGGTGCCGTTCCACCACCCCCTCCATGCCCGGCTCCCGGCTCATTGATAAAGGAGAGGCCCCACTCATTTTGGAAGATGGCTCCCAAATGCTGCCGCCGACTGCTATCGGTTGGTGGGGGACTGCTGGGGGGTGGCGCCAAGACACAGTTGGGGAGGCTATTAGTGGTGCGGACAGCTGAGGCTGGAACATGACAGGCTTTGCCTGGTTGATCCAAGTTCTCTTTCAGCTTGCTGGCATAAGAGATCTTGGGAATGATCCTGGCACTGCTGCTATCAACTGGGAAAGCAGGAAGGGGCCGAAAGAGTGACCATGTTTCCTTCTCGGATTCCTCAGTGGTTACACTGGAGGCATTAGATGCAACAGTGGGCTTCTCACTGGCTTTGATAGTGCTGACTCGTTCCAATTCGGGGGAAGACAATGGGGAGGGTGAGTCAGAATAGCCACGGCGTCGATGCTGCCATCGCCCATTGGAAAGACCCTCTGGAGCACAGTGGTGGCCATTAGTGCTAGGTCCCCATTCCTTGCGGTCTGAGGGGTTGCCTCGATAAGTTTTGCGGTAGGCAGGACGGAAGGGCCGGCTATGATGGAAATTAGGAGGATAACGGCGGGTATGCTGGGGAGGTTCTCGCTCAGACAGCTGGAGATTGCGGATGTTAAGGCTGTTGGAAGGACTCAGGGGAACACTGGGCTCATCAGCTATCTCAGAACTTGCAGTATATCCATTTGACTCCCATGATCCTGAAGAAGGAAAGCAAATTTGAGATCTATGTCACTAACTGCACAATAAAATGTTTCCCCGCTCTAAAGCATTTCACAGAAGGTCTTTGGAGGAAAAAAAAAACCTTTTCTACTTTCCCCCTGTAGCTTCCTTCCTTCCAATGCATTAGCATTAGAAGGTTCAATAATAGAAGGTGCTAAGTCATTTCAGGCTGGCATCCATATATTTGTATGAATTTTATTCCTAGACCGTGCAACACCTCTTCAATTTTATGAATAAACAGGATGCTGAAATTTAACTTCCTATTGCTATTATAATTACTTTTCAAGGTGGAATGGGAGAATACCCAATGGCTAGAGCTCTCATTCATTAAAAGCAGTCTTTGAAGCTGCTAAATCTCCCAAGTAATATTACAATTTCCAAGAAAAATAACGGTGTGGCCGTTACAAAATAAAGAGAATTGAAGAATGAATTTCTGTGCTATGATGTGGGGTTCAACAAATGTTTAAATGTAAAACAGATTTTACTTAGCAACTGTTTATTTTCCTTGTTATTTAGCTCTGCATAAGAAGCTTCTAACCTAGACAACTTTTTTGGATTAACGGAATACAAATAGGCCAATGAGCTATCTTCGCATTCTGGTCAGAAAAGCATCCTATTTCTCAGACCAAACAAGGACTCAGAATACAATTCTGGAGGAAGTTTGATAAAACCATCAAACAGGTTGATGGGGAAAGAAACTGTTTTTATTTCCTTCATACATGGTACAGAAGCAAGACAGAAAAAATGGGAGAAATGGAGTGATTCTTCTACCAGTTCACTCACTTGATGCTTTTCCTAATCAGTAATGATCAAGTTGCTAAACACAAGGCTTTCATATCAAAGCTCATGACATAAACATATCTCTTTCAATAGTGATCAAGGGATAAAAATGCCTTCACATCACAATCCTGAACCCCTCTCCAGCAAATTGAGAAACCATAAAATAAAATC